CAAAAAACAATGAATACTGTTATGCTGAAAAGAAATTAAAAATAAAAAATTAAAAAATTAAAGTAATCTTTGAAAACATCACTTAGTTTTTGGACTGTGTATTTTTGGAAAATACCCTGCTCAGATATAGGACCAAGCTGCAATTTTTTCCATTTGGTTGCAGAAATCATTTCTGAGACTCTGATCTTCTTGCTTTACCTTCAAAACACATATATATCTTCAATTTTCTTTCCATATCTGTATCTTTACTTTTTTTTTTACTATTTCAGTGGATTAAAAAAATAATGGCTTATTAATAGTATATCTCAGTGCAATACAGTTGGATCCACTGTTTGTGGAGGATTTAAAAATGACAACAAAATGGAATCAAGTCAACTGCTTTGAATGACCACAATGAACTAGTTTTTCTAGACAATATCCCAGATAACATGTCCCTTCCTTGCTCAACACTACAAATAATTGTGACACTGACCCAGAGAAGGCTGTTCCCAGTGGCCTGTCCATGACTCATCCTGACCACATCCAGTCATTCAGGAGCCCAGGCTTCTCCCATTGAGTGGTCCAGCATCTCAAAGGGACTTAAGGCTGTACTGGATTTCAGCGTTCTGTAGACATTCTGAAAAAGTCAAAACTATGGGGACATTAAAAAGAGCCATTGTTGTCAGGGTTTGGGGAGAGGAAGGAACCAATAGTTAGAGCTCAGATAATTTTAAGGGTGTGAAACTTCTCTGTACCATGAGGTGGGTGGGGGCACATCACATAGATTTCACAAAAGGTATAGACTGTACAGCACCAAGAATGAACCCTAATGTGAACTATGGACTTTGTGTGGTAAGGATGGGTCTATATATGTTCATCCAGGGTAACTGATGTACCACTTGGTGGGGATGTTGATAGTAGGGGAGGCTGTACCTGTGTATGAGTGGGAGATATGTGGGAACTCTCTGCACTTTCAGCTCAATTTTGCTGTGAACCAAAAACTACTCTTTTTTTTAAAGCCTTAGAATCCACATTTATTTTACTTTTTTAATTTAAATTACTGTTATTTCAACGACATATCCAATATATGGTAAAAGAAAATAGCATTCAGAAGTTCAGAATTGTATAAAGTAGAATAAAAGATATTCCTGCCACCCATCCCATCTGATTTCTCCAACCACTGTTCACAACCATTTTGATGCTCCCAGTTTTCTACGACAGATGAAAATATATGTTCACAATCTCTTTTATTATTATTATTTTATTTTTTTCAGTGTTCCAAGATTTATTGTTTATGCACCACACCCAGTGCTCCATATAATATGTGCCCTCCTTAACACCCACCACCAGGCTCACCCATCACCCCACCTCCCTCCCCTCCAAAATCCTGTTTGTTTCTCAGAGTCCACAATCTCTCATGGTTCGTTTCCCCCTCCGATTTCCCTCAATTCACTTTTCCTTTTCTTCTCCTAATGTCCTCCATGTTATTCCTTATGTTCTACACATTAGTGAAACCATATGATAATTAGCTCTCTCTGCTTAATTTAATTTCACTCAGCATAATCTCCTTCGGACCTGTCCAAGAGGATACAAAAGTTATCATCTCTTATTTGCAATGTTGAAATCCAAATAGGTTTAAAAACTGAAAGACTGGCCTTATAGGAGCTATTTATAGTGTTTATTTATCCCATATGTGTTTTGTTGCCAAAATATCAATGTTTGATGACAGGTTGCTGTCCCAAGACTGCTTTAGGCATGTGACCATTAGATGGTATAGGCATATATTACCTTTCTTAAAAACAGTAAGGTTAATTTCCAAAATACACCTGCCCCTAAAGTTTTGGATGAGTGAATATGAACCTTGATAATTATATGTATAACAAATCCTTTCCTTTAATGATTACACAAATAGATCATACTATATACAGCATCTCCAAAGTACATTTATGGAATCATTTAACATAGTCCCTTAAGACTTACTGTGGCCTACCTGCTCTGGACTCTGGTTACCTTTGACCTCATCTTGCATGCCTTTTCCTCTCATTCACTCTCCTCCAGCCACATGGACTTTCTTGCTATTCTTCCACCATGCTAAGACTGTTATTGTTTTAAGGACTTTGCACATACTGTTCCCTCTCTCTCTGGAACATTTCTTCCATTGATTTTCTCACTTCATTGAGGCCCCCTCACTCCACTGAAATCTTCACTAATTCATTGAAGACCTCTTTAAAGAGGTATCCCGGACCACTCTAACCAACGGAAGACCACCTATCATCTTCTGGCCCTCACTCTGCATTTTTCCGAAAACCACTCTTAAAAAAAAAAAAACTTTATTAAAGACAAAAAAGTAGGAAAACTCATTCAGAATATTCTCTTGGACACCATAAAAATCAAATAATACCATTAAAAAATGAAAAGAAGGCCTCCAGGTGGCTAATGGACATATGAAAAGATGCTCAACATCACTCATAATTAGGGACATGAATGAAGAAGCTGAGTTCAGCACAATCCATTTATGCTTCAGAAATACAGTTTTTAACTTTGTACTTGGAAATAACTTCACAGACACAGAAAGGGATGGAACTAGGGTGTATTATACTAAGTGAAATAAGTCAATCAGAGAAATGTAAATACCATATGATTTCACTCATATGTGGAATTTAAGAAAGAAAACGAACATAGGGGAAGAGAAGGAAAAATAAAATAAGACAAAAACAAAGAGGGAGGCAAACTGTAAGAGACTCTCAACTATAGAGAACAAACTGAAGGTTGCTGGAGGGGAGGTGGGTGTAGGATGGGCAAAATGGGTGATGTACTTTGAAGAGGGCACTTGTGATGAGCACTGAGTGTTTTACAGAAGTGATGATCACTGAACGCTATTCCTGAAACTGTACTACAGGATATGTTAACTATCTTGAATTTAAATAAAATCTTTACCTGGTGGTGGGTATTAAGGAGGACATGTATTGCATGGAGCACTGGGTGTGGTGCATAAACGATGAATCTTGGAAGACTGAAAAAATAAAATTTAATTTAAAAAATAGTAATAAATAAATGAATGAATGAATGAATAGATAAAATGTTGAAAGAAAAAAAACAGAAAACCGCCACCAAGTTACAGGAATGTTGTAGTAATACATGTAGTAAAACACCTGTATACCTTTACTCATTAACACTTCAATGATGTGCTACCCCATTAACTTTACTGTGCAATCACCATTTATTTTCTCCCAGTCCAAAGTCAGTACTGCCTTTCCAAATGATCAATCACTGGACATCCTTCATCTCCCCTTTTTACTACTCCAGTCTATCAAAACTTCTATTACCAATTCTTGCATGAAATTTGTTCTGTTCAGCTTGTAGGTACCTTCATCAAATGGGCCAATGCTCATCTCAATAGATGCAAATTCCTGCATATCTGTTTGTCCATCTCCAGTTCTTCAAGTGATTCTCCTCCTTTACTTCTCTTTTGGTCCAAAAGTGAGAGAAGGTGGACTGAGGTCCCCATTTTTGAGAGATAGAGGGAGATGTTATGACCAACCTCCCCACTGAGGATACGCCTATTTCACCAAGAACTGAGTATGATCCATGAGTTCTTAACACATAAATGTGTACGTATGTGTGTGTGTGTGTGTGTGTGTGTGTGTGTGTGTGTGTGTGTAATAGAGGGGATCATTTAGGATGTGGGTCCTGGGCAACAGTCATTTTGCCTGGATCTAATGGTGTCATAGACCCTGAGGTGTGTGGGAGAAGGTAGAGTGAGGGATTCCTTATGACTGTTGTGAGTCTTAGGAATTTTGGTCCAGATTCCATAAAAAGTATATTAAATACCATATCTTATAACTGTAACTGTATAAAGATGAATATACTCCACTCTGGTTTATTGGTATATATTCATTATTACTATAATCACTTTTGTTTAATATTTTTAAGGAAATTATAACATTTTTGTGGAATCCTAAAACTATCATGTGACTAATTCTCTGTATGTGCTTTGCCTGGTGGAAGTCAGCCATGGTGGCAGCTGAGAAACAGTCCTGAGGAAGGGTCAAGACTTCTGGGTGACAAGATAGCCATGAAGGAAGAGGGATACCATGAGTTGTAAGCAGAAGGGGTGGCAATATCTTATCCCTGGTGACAGCAATGTGGGGACAGGTAGAAGTAAGGAGAGCTATGGTTCAGTATAAAACCCACTGGCTTTGCCTTCTTCTCACAGAACACGCACATTTCCTTCAACCTACCTGGCCTTGTAGGTCCTCCTGGTGGGGAAACTGGATCACATTGCCACTTGCAGTGTCAGGACTAGGGGCACCCACAGAATTTCAGGGGGGGGACTCCCAATCTCAGTAATTAGGCAAATCAATTTTAATGAAATATTTCAAGAATCAAAATGGAGGCCACATATTAAAATTATTAAAATCAAGACCACATTCACCTGTGGTTTTATGAGTCACGTCTCTCCCTGGCTCTAGTCCTGCCCCACACTCTTGGACAGGGCAGGAACTGAGCAAGGCCTAGCCATGGCGAGCTGTGCTTGCAGCACAGATGAAGACTGCAGTGTCTCAGGGACCTGCACGTGGCCCAAACACCATAACCTGAGTCTTGAGAGCTTCCCACATGGTCCTGATGGAAATGGGGGCCAGGAGGGTGGAAGAGCACATTGTCAGAGAGAGGACCATGTTGAGCTACACATGGGGATGAACCAAGTGCTTTTCACACTCCTCAGTCCTTTATCCATGTGCTCTCCAATGAAGAATTATGTATGAGTGTGCACGCATTTGTGTGTGTGTGTGTGTATGTGCAGGCACAATCATCTGTGAAAGCAGAGGCTCTCTAAAGTGTCCATTTTGATCAGAGAACATAAGAAGAACTTTCCATTTGCAGATACTTTATTGAAATGAAAATGTGCTCAAGGTTTCAACAATTGTCTTGCAGTTAATAGATCAAAAGACAAAAAGGAGAAGAAAGTTGTGGTTCATTGTACTCTCTGTAGTCCTCAGTGCCCCAGGTCATACACAAGGTTAAAACATAACACACCACTTACTTTCATATATCATGTTCTGGAAAACAAAACAGGGACATTACTCAGATTTTCAGCTTTCTGTTAGAAAGTAAGTCTTGGAAAACAAACATTTCTTCTTCTTGGCTTCCTGGGTTTGTCCACACACATCTGGCATTCAAAGTTGGTGTTTGAATTAAGATCAGAATGATCTCATCTCTCATTCTAAGGATCAGGAGACTTTATTGATGCCAGAAATGTGCTGCTGTTTCTAGATCTCTTCCCTGTTAGGAATCCTGGTAATAAAGTTTTCTTGATGTTTCCTGTTCTTAAAAATATTGTATCCTGTAGATACACTGTGTGTATCAGTTTTTAACAAAGAATTGTTAAGCCTTAGCTCAAATACAGGGAAGTGTGAAGTTTTTGAGCTCCGATGTGGCCCCACATGTTAGAAATACCGAAAACAGTCCAAAACCAAAACCATTACCTTTGAGACCAGAGAAGTATGGATATGTGCACTCCAAGTGATCAGTCTAATCAAGGTTTTTAAAGAAAAAATTCCGTTATCCTTGGTTTCAGGGTTTTTCAGGCTTAAACTGTCTAAACTCATGGTAAATACACATAAACTAATGGTAAATACACATAACATAAAATTGACCATTTTCATCATCTTAAGTATACAGTTCAACAGTGTTAAGTATACTGGCGTTATGGTGCAACAATGTCCTAAACATTTTCATCTTGCTATGGTGAGACTCTATACCCACTGAATAATCTCCATTTCCCATACCACCCAACTCCTAGAAAGTACTATTCTACCTCCTGTCTCTAGGAGATTAGGTACTCTAGAAAATGGATGTAAATTACCTTATACAATAATTGCCTCTTTAAACTGGCTTATTTCATTTATCATAATGTGCTCAAGGTCCACCCACATTGTGCCCTGTGTCAGCATCTCAGTGAAGGACACTTTTACCTTTTGCTTTGCAATATTTCTACATTGTCTACCCTGGAAAGTTTTCAATGGCATGTTAGGATAGGGAATAAAATCTAGAGAACAAAAACACTATGGATTGTTGTTTTACACAATTCTACCCCCATTGTAGATTCATACTCATGACCTTACTTGTCATTCATTGGGTCTTTAAGTAATAGTCAAGGAATCCAATAATTTATACTAACACATTGGGTTGCTTGAAAGTGTATTTTAATTCTATTAATAAGATGCAGAGAATCTTCTTCAAGTGGGTTCTTCTGATAGACTGCGGGGAGAGGGAGCCTCTGTCAGCAGGCTACCAGCAAGTGACAGAGGAGGGGAGCACAAAATAAGAGCTATTAGAAGTCTTCTCTGGTGAGGAATGTTCCTCAGGCAGCTAAGCAGGCATGGATGAAACCCTAGCTGGAGCAGTGTGGACTCAGGATATGTGGGGTAACAGGAAGACTGGGGATGCCTGAGTGTGGCAGAACTTCCAGGTATCAGAACGGGGAAGCTGGCTGCAAAGAGTGAGCCCAGGAGTGAGGTCTCAGCTCCTGGTTGCCATTGACCATGTTCCATGACACAGTCACGGCACTTCTCTTCAAGCAGTGGTCCACCAAGTGCCAGAACTGGGGAGACCACCCTTCCACCCCCAGGAGTAGCAGTCTGGGAGTGCACTACAAGAGTCTGCTGGCTTTGGAGACTGGAAAGGGTTCTCATGCCTGAGATAGAAACACTCAGTCACAGGGTGGGTGAGCATCAAGTGTGGCTGGAGAGCAGGGAGACAGCAGTGATTGACTCCTTTTCCCTGGGGGCTCACTGAGGAGTGGGGCCCCAAGCTTTTGGCCCTTGGGCAGAGATTGGGAGGTTGCCATTTTCATTCTAATCCTCTAAAGCTGTGTGGAAAGTCTTCAGGGAACAAAAGCCACATAGAGCAAATTGGAGATTATTCAGCCTGGCCCCTGGCAAGGGTAGTGCCATTCTGCCTGGGGCAAAGACATTTGAGAATCAATGCAGAAGGCCCCACCCCCAGATGATCAGCAAGAACATCCAGCCAAGACTAAGTTTACCAATCAATGAGAACTTCAAAACTCTAGAGCTAGGGGCATAGAACACCTAGAACTCAAGACTTTTACCCCATGATTCTTTAGTCTTTCAACTTTAATTCTTTAAATTTTCTATCTTTTTAAAAATTTTCTTCCTTATTTTTCAATCACCATCCTATTTTATCAAATACTTTTTAAAAATCTCTGTTTAATTTTCATTTTTACAGTCATACTCTATCCCTTCATTGTATTTAATCTTATTTTGTATGTATATATAAACTTTTGTGTATATATATTTATTTTAATTAATTAATTAATTAATTTGAAATACAGTTTCTTCTAACAGACCAAAATACACCCAGAGTCTAGTGTATGGCTCTGTTCTATTCACCCATCTGATCATATTCTCTTTTTGTTGCTGTTGTTGCTGTTATTTTATTTTTTTCTTTTGTTAAGGTCTTTTTAAATTTTCATCTTCCTTTCAAAGTATTTAATTTTATTTTTGTATATATAAGTTTTTCTTTCTTTACAATTTTGAGATGTAGTTTCCTCTAACAAACTGACCAAAATACACTCAGGAGATAGTGTGTATTGCGTTGTTCTGTTCACCTGTCTGTTTATATCCCTTTCTTTTCTTGTTTTTTTTTTTTTCTTTCTCTTTTTTTTTTTCTTGTCTTTTAAAAATTTCTTATGAACATTTTCCTCCTTTTTTCTATAAAGATGGGAATCTTTTTTGCTGATGACTTCTAAAAGTGAGGGACTTTTTGAGAATCAGTTGTTTAAATCTTGATAGAAAATGTGTGTCATGAAAAAGTGTTCATCATTGTTAGCCATCAGGGAAATTCAAATCAAAACCTCATTGAGATACCACCTTACACCAGTTACAATGGCAAAAATTGACGAGGTAATAGACAACAAATTTTGGAGAAGATGTGGAGAAAGGGGAACCCTCTTACACTATTGGTGGGAATGCAAGTTGGTTTGGGCACTTTGGAAAACAGTATGGAGGTTCCACAAAATATTAAAAATAGAGCTACCGGGACACTTGGGTGGCTCAGTTGGTTAAGCGGCTGCCTTCGGCTCAGGTCATGATCCCCACGTCCTGGGATCGAGTCCCACATCGGGCTCCTTGCTCAGCGGGGAGCCTGCTTCTCCCTCTGCCTCTGCCTACCACTCTGTCTGCCTGTGCTCATGCTCTCTCTCTCTCTCTCTCTCTAACAAATAAATAAATAAAATCTTTAAAAAAAAATAAAAATAAAAATAGAGCTACCTTATGACCCAGCAATTGCACTACTGGGTATTTACCCCAAAGATACAGATGTAGTGAAAAGAAGGGCCATAGGCACCACAATATTCATAGCAGCAATGTCCACAATAGCCAAATTATGGAAAGAGCCAAGATTTGCCCTTCAACAGATGAATGAATAAAGAAGATGTGGTCCATTTGATGAGGGAACAGGAGGCTGGCTGAGGACAAAGCAAAAGCTGGCACCTTGCACCCCCTCTCCACCCGCTCCCCTCAGTAACATTCCTTAGGCACCCCTGACTGCCCTAAAAGAAAAACAAGTTAACCTGCAGAGATCACAATCCTGCAAGGCAGGAGTCTCCCTTGGTTTACAAATGTCCTAGAGATTTACAATAAAGAAGTTACCTTATCAATAGCCCAATTTCCAGAGACAAACAACTCAGTTCCTCAAGCCCTAATATCGCCCTCCCCTCCATAAACAAAACTGAAGGAGGCTGAGGTAGAAGGGAATGTAAATAAAGTTAAATTTCTTCTAAACCTAAATCTCACTAACAAGGACGCTTGAATAACAGGAATGTGACATTCCACCAGGAAACTCCCAATTGTCTTTATGTTAGTGCCTCATTAGAGGAAAAACGGCCTTGGCTTGATAGTAACCAGGCCTTCAATATCCTGACAGTCTTCTTTACCCCAATAGCCCTTCTGAACACCTGCTTTGTCCTCACCTACCCAACTTCTGTGTATATAATCAGCCACTCCTCACATCCCCAAGGCAGCATCTCCGTCTGCCCACGGGTCCTGTCCCCATGCTTTAATAAACCACCTTTTTGCACCAGAGATGTCTTAAGAATTCTTTCTTAGCCGTCGGCTCCGAACCTCACCCCACCGAACCTCACCTAGGTTCTAGAACTTCATCACATATATACACATATATACAATGCGTCAACAGGGATGGGACCAGAGGAGATTATGCTAAGTGAAATAAGTCGAGCAGAGAAAGTTAATTACCATATGGTTTCACTTGTTTGTGGAAAGTAAGGACTAGCGTGGAGGACATTAGGAGAAGGAAGGGGAAAATGAAGGGGGCGAAATCGAATGGAGAGAGGAACCATGAGAGACTATGGACTCTGAGAAACAAACTGAGGGTTTTGGAAGGGAGAGGGATGGGAGGATGGGTTAACCTGGTGGTGGGTATTAAGGAGGGCATGTATTGCATGGAGCACTGGGTGTTATACGCAAACAATGAATCATGGAACACTACATCAAAAACTAATGATGTTCTGTATGGTGACTGACATAACATAATAAAAAAAAAGAAAAAAGAAAGTGTGTGTGTGTGTGTGTGTGTGTGTGTGTGTGTGTGTGTGTGTGTGTGTATTCTTTTCCCTCTTTGGCATTTTTATTTACATTCCCTAAAAATTCCACAAAGTGAAGGAGCAAGTCAGTACTGGGACCTTTTCTCAATGTCAAAGTATTCACATGCACCCACAATTAAATTCGCTGAAATAAAATAAAGCATGTGTAACACTTGCTGTGGTATGAGTGACCAACTTAAAACCTGCTTGTCCCTGTTCAGTGGATTGAGAGCTCAATGTAAGAAAACATAGTTACCAGCAGCTCTGCAACATTGCACAGAGTTTCACTTGACTGGCTGAGAAAACACTGCTTCAGTTGTCTCATGGCCTCCTCAGAATCAGGATGAGATGTGTAGTAAGGTCTAACTAAGTTTTGGTATTCATCCATGCTCACTTGAGAATCGACTGTTTTGTTAACCAATTCTTCCAGTAATGGGCATCCAGAACCTGGAAGAAAACATGCAAAAGTGATCTCAGTTATGTAGGTATGAAGCCATTTTTGGGTGTCCCTAGGATGTTGGTCATCTTCTTACATCCCAGGAGACACACATTCAGAGAGATCATGGTAAATGGTCTTGAGTTCTCAATTCTAGCAGAATAAGCTCAGGATCTAGGATTTCCTTTAAACCTGAAAACATGTGTGCCCCCTCTCCATCCACACACTACCTTCATAGCCCAGAGAAGCCAAACACTAGTAACCATGAAACAGAAGACACTGGAGAAATGAGATTCTCTGCACTGGACTTTGGGGAACAGGAGGTCTTCCAGAGGGCCCTGACACAATCTTCTCTCCAAAGACTGTCCTCCCCAGACAAAACTCACCTGCAAAGCAGGAAAAGGGGAGGGCAATCAGCACAAGGACTCTCAGCAACTTCATGGTTGAGGGCAGCTCTGGTTGTCTGGTGTGTCAGGGAGGAAGGAACTCACTTTGGTGATGAGCACCTAGGAGTCCTCCTTTTATACCCCTGCTCACTACCTTCATCCCTCCTCCCATAAATGAGGGAATGGTCACACGACAAACCTGGCTTTGGACCAGGAAATGACAGCAAGAATCAGCTGCAACCCAGCTAGCTTGTGCTCTGTTTGTAGAAACCTAGGAGACAGAGCTTGTTGGATCCAAAACAATTCTGGAAATGCAGTAATGGTACATGGCTTTAGATGAAATTAATGCAAAAGTGCTTGCTAACTAATCCTATTACAAGAAAGTGAGCTTGTGTTGTCATCCTTGTTCTTTTATTAGTGTGGTCTTCAATCTGCTTACACCCCTCCCTCCTCCTTCCTCAAGGTTCATAAAGCTTCCTATCCTGTTTGTGGGGTCCTGCTCCCTTAGCACACCATCTAGGCTCAGTGCAATACCACATACTTTCTCTTGAGGGCAGACTGCTCTGGCCTATAGACACTTTAGTCAGAGTACTTGATATATGGGAAATAATCACAAGTTAGAATGGCCAAAGTTAACAAGATAGTAAACAATGTGTGTTGGAGAGGATGTGGAGAAAGGAAAACCCTCTTACACTGTTGGTGGGAATGCAAGTTGGTGCAGGCACTTTGGAAACAGTGTGGAGATTCCACAAGAAATTAAAAATAGAGCTTCCCTATGACCTTGCAATTGCACTACTGGGTATTTACCCCCAAGACACAGATGTAATGAAAAGAAGGGCCATCTGTACCCCTCTGTTCATAGCAGCAATGGCCACAGTCGCCAAACTGTGGAAAGAACCAAGATGCCCTTCAACAGACGAATGGATAAGGAAGATGTGGTCCATATACACTATGGAGTATTATGCCTCCATCAGAAAGGATGAATACCCAACTTTTGTATCAACATGGACAGGACTGGAAGAGATTATGCTGAGTGAAATAAGTCAAGCAGAGAGAGTCAATTATCATACAGTTTATTTGTGGAGCATAAGAAATAACATGGAGGACATGGGTAGATGGAGAGGAGAAGGGAGTTGGGGGAAATTGGAGGGGGAGACAAACCATGAGAGACTGTGGACTCTGAAAAACAATCTGAGGGTTTTAGAGGGGCAGAGGATGGGAGGTTGGGTGAGCCTGGTGATGAGTATTATGGAGGGCACTTATTGCATGGAGCACTGGGTGTGGTACATAAATTCTGGAACACTGAAAAGAAATTAAAAAAATAAACAAAAATTAAAAAAAAATCACAATGTCTCATTCTCTCTGAAGGTTCTTTTTGCAAAGAATATCTCATTTAATTAATTCAATTTCATTAATTCAGTCTGTTATAAATCTTTGAAATTTTTTAGTTGTTCAGAATTTTTTTCCCCCACTGATTCGAAAGATGATGTGAAGCAGTAGAGCAAGTGGTTGCTCAGCAGAGGCAGTGTGAATGAAGGAAACGTGACCAGGTCTGGGCTCAAGCAGATGTGGATTCAAATCTTGGAGGCAACACCTAATCACGAAGTGTCCTCAGGCAAGTGAAACTTTCAAGCTTCCTTTTCCTCATTTCTCAAATGAGCAGTAATAATATCATACCTGGTTTTGCAAGGATGATACTCTGTGAAGAGCTTATCCAGGCTTCAAACAAGGTAATTAGGAATAAATGGGAGGTTCCATCCATCCATCCATCCATTCACCCATCCATCCACTGTTCAATAGTAACCATGAGCTTTCCCCATGACTGGGGCCTGTGCTATGTGACCCAGATTCAGTTGCTCCACCAGGAATTTGACCTTGGAAAGCTTACTTCTTACAAGAAAGACAACAAACATGCCCATAACAGAATGAGTGACATCAGAAAGTATCTGCTGTACAGAATCACAAAACAACCACATGGGACAGCATCCTGTACAGAGGTCCAGGCCAGCTCCAGGAGGATGGACTTTAAATCCTCGATGAGTGAACAATGATATCCAGGGGAAGATCTGGGAAAGAGTGTTCTAGGCAGAGGGAACAGCAGGTACAGAGGCTCTGGAGCACTTGGTATTTGGTAAGATAAGGAAAGCACACACAGTGTTCCTCTGGGTTTCAAGAGAGACACAGGACAGCCTCGTTCTACACAAATAGAAAAACCACATCAGTTTAAGCAGGGAGAATAGGATGGTACTAGAAACAAGAGAAACAAAGTCGGCTCAAGTTAAAAAAAATGAAAAAGAAATAGATGAGAAAGCCAGAGACATGAATTAATGACTCATGAATGCAGCATTTGCTGTTTGGATTATTTGGGTTATTTTTTCCCATCATTCAGCTCCAGCATAAGTAGCCAAGATCAACACTAATTTAGGGAGAGGCTAGAAATAGGAAAGAAGGTGATGTTCTTATGTGTGTACTTTCCCTTAGTTGACCATTGCTGCCAGTATTCGTTCCAATGAAGGGCTTTAGTGATGAAATGAAAGACTTTTTGGCTATGTCTTAAAGGGACTCTCCCTGGTGCCCAAAATATTATGACATTGTCCTGTTACCTGCTGGGAAACAGGTGTCTGTAGAGGTTTCTTATTCAGTAAAAAATAAAATAAAGTACTATAAAATAAATAAAGTAAAATAAAATGAATTAAAATAAAGTCCCACATCATTTACATGGTGGCCACAATAAGAAGTGTATCTTTCTTTTTAACCTTCATGTTTTCTCCATTGCAGATGATAATCATTCTCAAATGAGTCAAGAAACAGTAAACTCAGCCCACAAAGGACTCATTGGCAAGACAGTGTTGACAAGAGACAAGAGAAACCAAAAGGTCAGAATGCATGGGTAGCTAGCCTGATGTTTCCTCTTCCCAAAAGGGGCTTTAAGTCAGGTCCCCAAATGATGCTCAGAAACTAGAGGAATGAAGGAGGCTTCAGTCTGGGTGTTGGTGTGATACCTATTGATCCCCTATTATGACAAACTGGTGTATAGGTGAATTTGTACACATGCAGATTTTACTCCCAATACCTTGTGTCATGTGAGAGAGGGAATGTATGCAGCAAGGGAGAGTTATTTTTGACATGTCCTCTGGCTCATGCAAGACCTATGTAAATGTACACCAGTATTTTGTCATATCAGGTCTTGCTATAGTTCATAAAAGTAATAATATTCAATGAAAGTTACCTTTTCTCATTGTTTCATGCATCAGCACAAAAACCTATCAAGAAATTATTTTAAAATTCAGATGATCTTTAAGTGATTTTATTTATTTATTTTTTTTTAAGATTTTATTTATTTGACAGGCAGAGATTACAAGTAGGCAGAGAGGTAGGCAGAGAGAGGAGGGGGAAGCAGGCTCCATGCCGAGGAGAGAGCCTGAGGTGGGTCTCGATCCCAGGACCCCGTGATCATGACCTGAGCCGAAGGCAGAGGCTTTAACCCACTGAGCCACCCAGGCGCCCCTTTAAGTGATTTTAAATTGTAAGTTACTGGTATGAATCAACTTTGCAGTATTTGAGGAGAAGATAGCCCAATTTTTTTTTACTCTTTCCATAAAACCAGTTCTGCCCCTCACCTGAGGGGCTGTTGGGATGTTAATCTCAGGCACGTTCTTTGGAATGAACGTCTTCCTCATTATGATCGTGCCAATCTCTAGAAATTAGTGAGGAAGGGACTTACATAGGCCAGCAATGATAGGAAAGGTCATGGCCTTTGAGACATCTTGAAGGCATTGAGAGGTTTGCTGTTCACATTATCTAGCCATTCTTAGATCAGGAACATCCCTTGCCATTGGCCAAGCCTGGTATGGAGAATTCATGACTGTATCTCTTTGTAAACCAAGAATAGTCCTGTTATTATCATAAGTCCTCAGAACAGAGCTAGGCCAGAGCAGTTGCTGTGAACATGTCAGCTGCCAGTGATTCATTTTATAAAATTGAGAAAGCTCTTATAATAGATATTGAAGGAATATTAGCACAGTCAGAGACTATTGGAAACTTGGTTGAACTTCACATTCTCTGAAAGAACTAGAGAAGGTCATGTTGAGATCTGACGTAAAGGTCCTGTGTTTGAATTAAAAGCACTCTATTTTGATCCATGCTTACTTGGTACTGTTCTGACTTCTTTTTGGAAGAGTTTTTTTGAGGCATAATTACACAGAAATTTTCTGTCAAATGTATCCCATATACTGTTGGTTTATTAATCTTCTCAAACCCCAGCAGAAATGAGTGTTTACCCATTTTCAAAATTCAATAAAACATGAATTGCAAATAATAATAGAACACTCCTTCAAGGCAAGGCACTGGAGCAACCTTATTTAATCTTGACAACAACCACCAAATGCAAAGGATGATGACGAGATTTATTGGCCCAAAGAAGGTACTTTAGAGTGTGAGAGACTTCACAAAATGGATGCCAGGAGAGCAGCATAAACCAGGATTCTTCTGAGAAAACTGAGATGTATGGTCAACATCCCTTGGTTGGCAACTTCCTCTGCATTGTCCTGGCTGTAATCTGAAGGTAGGCCCTGTACACAGAGGGTAGGGAGAAACCAAACAAAAGGCCAGTAATTCTGGCTGGTATGTGGCAGGTTTAATTATCTAGGGAGCTCACATACAAGAGTTGTCTTGGGTAGCTATAAGATGGGTAGATTTCTACACTGACATACCAGAATCCGAAAGTTTACAGAGAGACTTTAAGCAGGTTCAGTCACATTCTCAGTACAGAAGGTCTCAACACCATCTAATTGGGGCAGCTTCTGGGAGTGAAGCAGGCAAATGGAACCTACATTTGAAGGAAAGGGGATGTAGGTGAAGAGACTCCAATTGTCTGGATCCATGTCATGGGTCAGCTGGAGGTCATGTACTCTCTCCCAAGACCTCCACATGAAGTGGGCATATCTTCTCACCCTGGATGCAGACAATGGGACCAGGGAGGTCAAGTAATTTGACCATTAGCCCACGCTTGTGGATGGCAGCCAGGGTAAGGACCCAGGTGTTCTAGGTGAGAAA